GTTTGGTGGTGTGGTGATGGGCACCTGTAATCCCAGCTACTCGGGAGGCTGAGGCAGGAGAATCACTTGAACCTGGGAGGCAGAGGTTGCAGTGAGCTGAGAACGTGCCATTGCACTCCAGCCTGGGTGACAAGAGTGAAGTCTCATAAAAAAAAAAAAAAGGAATCCACAGAGATACAAATAAACAAACAAATAAATAAAAGAAAGGAGGACTTCCTTACAGGAATACAGGCCATTTCATTGTCAGAGTTCTCAACACAAACACATACACACAAAATTCTCGATTACAAAGGGGAAAAGTAGTGACCTGAATGTAGAGAAACTGGGTAGACATCAACTTGATGTGGTGATCAGATCAGCATCACCAGTGATGATGAAACGTCTGACGCCCTTCCTTGTCATACCCTGATGGGAGCACACCACCATATCCACGATATTCCTACAAAGAATGTATGAGTCAACATAGACAGACCAGGGTGTGGGACATCCTTGGCATGAAAGGCCTGCACTCTTTAAAAACTATAAAGGTTATAAGACAGACAGAAAAATATTGAAGACCTTTGATAAATAAATGTAACATGATCCTGAATTGGATGTTGGGCCAGAAAGAGAAAAGAGGCATTGTTGAAGTAGTTTGCAGAATTCAAATTGGGTATGTGGCTTAGATGGTAGTGACATATGGTAGTAATGTCAGTTTCCTCATTTGTATGGTATTTGATGGTTTTGGGGAGAGTGTCCACATTTTAGGGGAATACACACTGGAGTATCTGGAGTAAGTGATGAGACGTTGTGCCACAGCTTGCTCTCAAATGGGTCAGAAAAAGACTAATGACATGCACAGATGCATATGATTTAATATAGAATATGTAACAATATATCCATAATACATATTTATATAGTATCTATAATTCATATATTTATTATATTCTAATATACTATATATTTCTATTGTTCTATGTATGTATATTTAGAAAAGAAGAACGAGATGGAACAAATGTGGGAAAATGTTTATCTTTATTTAGATAGAGATGGAGCAAAAGATAAAATGCTGGTGAGGCACAGTGGCTCACGCCTGTAATCCCAGCACTTTGGGAGGTCGAGGCAGGTGGATCACTAGAGGTCAGGAGTTCGAGACCAGTCTGGCCAACATGATGAAAACCCATCTCTACTAAAAATACAAAAATTAGCTGGGTGTGGTGGCGCACGCCTGTAATCCTGGCTACCCTGGAGACTGAGGCAAGAGAATCTAGTGAACCTGACAGGCGGAGGTTGCAATGAGCCCAGATCGCGCCACTGCACTCCAGCCTGGGTGACAGTGAGACTCTGTCTTGGGAAAAAAAAAAAAAAAGCTAACACAGCAGTCTCAGAAAAGGTGATACAGTTCTTTATGTTATTCTTGTAACTTCTCTGCAAGTTTGACATTATTTCAAAATAAGTGATTTTAAAAGAATATCTGTGTATTTATATAGTGGTATAAGTAACAAACACTTTCATTTTTAGTGGAATATGTAATACTTCATATGGAAGATATTTCCATGTTTCAATACTCTCTCTAGGAATTCTGGAATTTAGAAGGAAGGGGGTGGGTTATAGAGTCCTTTTTAGCCCCTGTAAAAATGTTATATAACCAGAAAATGTCAAAAAGAAAGAGTTGTCTATTTTCTGTCCAAATTCTCACATTCTACTTTTAGATTAGCCACTAAAATAATCGATTAGCTTTACTAACATAATGGAAACCCAGTAAATCCATAGTCATTCCTCATAAAAGTAGAATCTGCTTTCCCCTGGATCAAAGGTGGGACCCTTTGTGCAATAATTAATTTCAAATAATTTAAAAAAGGGTTTGCTCTATAAAAAAATAGCATTCCATTTTTACCCAAAGCAGTATAGTCTTCTTCACAGTCCCTGACTTGCATTTTATCTCAGTTTGCTACTTTTTTCTGTACAGAAAATTTTCTCTAAATCATTATATCCCTAGACACACAAACACACACACACAAACACACACACAGAGTTGTACTCAGCATTTTTACTTTACAAAAGTCTCTGTGATCATTTTTTTCACTTCTTTATCTGACAAAGATCTGACATTCTCCCCTTCTTTTTTGGGAAAATTGAGGGTGAGGACTTGCAATTTACCTGGTAGCAAGTTATTGAAAAATCAAGACTAGAATTGAGAGTCTTTTTACTCTACAACACAGAAAGATCTAGCCTAGGTTAGTACACTTGTGGGTTATTCTTCCTCTAAAATACATGTATATCAGGCACACTTATTGAGATTGCACTTTGCCTCTGTAAGTCTTTAGGAGAATTTAGGCCTACCCATGTAAATACTCATTTGCAAGGCATCTCTTTGCATTGCAAAGATATACTAATAGAATATTGAATGCTTTGCAATTGTATTTTTGCTTGCCGGTTGTAACAGGGTTTAGAAGGTTGACGTTCACAAAACAAAGGCTTCTTTTACCACCAGGGTAAAAATGTTCACATTCAAATATAACTAGAAAATGTACAATAATTTATAGAGAAATCTCTGAAAGTTTTGCTAGTATAAGGCAATTTTGATTAAAGTATAAGAATGTTGTTACTAGCTATCATAGATGTTATACATTTCATCTAGTTGCTATAATGCATGTACCCTCAACACTGTGGTAGTTTTATTTTTTCTCACAATGTTTTCATAAGCTAAGATGCATTTATTTAAATTTAATTTTATTTATTAAATACCTGTGTAGAACTTACTATGTGCCTGGCCCTATTATAAGTAGTTTATGAATAATGAATGCATTTCATCCTCATAAAACTCCCTGAGGTCATTACTATTACCATCCTCCAGTTCACAGATGAGGTATAAAGAAGATTAAGCAACGTGTCCAAGGAATACACCACTGGTAAACTGTAGAACTAGAATTCCAGCCCAAGCAGTTCAACTCCAAATATGTGTTCATAACCAATGTGTCATGCTGTGCTAAACCTCAGATTCACAGTTGTTGGATAATTATTTGTTGATTAAATGAACAAATTATTCTCTTGCCTCTTAGGCTGATTTGAAAGCATTAAGCAAATTACCCAATTGTTCTGTACCTTATTTTTTCACTTTGTAAAACAGAACTGATAATATTTGCCATCCATTTCTCTTCTGAACAACAGGAAGAATGGAGAGCATTTACTTTACCTACCTGCTGTATGTTTTTATGTCTTTAAGACTGGGTCTGCAGTGGGTCTAGAGTAGGCTAACAGCTTATACCTTAAACAGGTAACAAAACCACAATTCAGTATAATTAAGTTGCTTTCCATCTGAATGAGCGTGAAGTAGAAGGGCAAAAGTTGAGAACTTCAACTTCCTCACACATGAGCTTTATTCCCATTTAACTCTGAACTGTTCTCTTTTTTTCAGCTGAATCAGAATTTGTTTGTATAAAATAATAGTTAAGATAAATGAAATGTCTTCTAGGGCTTAGATTATATGATCTAATAAAAGCATCAAGTTACAGATCTTCTAAGTGAAAATGTTTTCTTCTTACAGCACTACATCTCTAATATTTAAAAATTATCAGGACCTGATTAGGGATAACACTGGAAGTTTCTGTGCCAAGCGTCCTTACTCCATCTCTGTCTGTCCACTGTCTTTATTTTGTCCCTACACATTCCATTAGGTTTCTTATTGGCTGTAGACCTGGCATGAAAAGAAATTCAAAACAAGACCCTCTAATGTTCTGTTTTGTTTTTTTAGAGACAGGATCTTGCTCTCTTGCCCAGGCTGGAGTGCAGTGGTACAGACATGGCTCATTGCAGCCTCCAACTCCTGAAGACCCACTACTGATAGCAGCAAGGGCAGATAGGTGGTCCAAGCACTCTTGTCGTGTGCCTTTGAGCAAATCATCTATCCTTTCTCAGTCTTAATCTCCTCTTCTGAAAAATGAGGCTAATAACAAAGGCTGCACGGTCTACCTCCAGAGTTGTCAGGAGGGTCAGAGGAGTTAGTGAAACTGTTTTGTAAACTGTCCTCTACCATTATGAAGATGTTAATACTAAAGATCAATTTTGAAAAATTTTCCAAATACAGACACAAGAAAAATTATCTATATACATTCTTGGCCTGGAGTTCCAAATGGAATTGGTTCAGAAAAGAAACAGAATTTGACTTAATCCTCAAAAAAGGTGGTATTTCAGATGCTTGATTAATGTCTGGAGACTAAATTCCTGGTGAATGAGAAAAAGCATATGACAGACCTGAAGTCAGATGACCACAGGCCTACACAGATGTCTCTGAGATGAGAACAGTCTTTGCTAAGGTCTGCAGAGATCATTCTCAGTGCCTTTGCTAAGGTCTACAGAGGTCATTCTCAGTGCCTTGCCTTGTAGGGAGATGACCTTAGGACTCCATCCATGACAGCTGTAACAGTATACTGAAGAATATACTGACGAACAGTGAATTGCGTGTGCTCTCAGGATATAAAGGTGAAATGTACTTAAGATCCTGTGTTGTTATTAAACAGTATTGACAAAGTTGTTAGCAAGGTCCAAAAAGTGGACAGAAAAGAAAATTTAGTTAACAGATTAACCAAATACTGAGTGCAAAGGAATCTAGCAAGGATCCCTAACATTTTCTCTTTTGTTCAGAAACTTTGGAAGCCAACTTAGGTACCCTTTCAAAATCTGACACGTGTGTGGCTAAAGGTGTACAAAAGAGTGGGTAATGAGTGTTGTCAGAAGTGGCCTGTCCTATGACCTATTTAACTTTGATCACTTCCATGATAACAGAATGCACACCTTGCCCTAACCATCTGGCACAATCCAGCCCTGCTTACTAGGGAAACTTGGCAAGCCAGAGTTTTCAGGGTGGAAAGGAAACCTATTATCCCTACTAGAAAAAAAAAAATCTCAAAGCGCTTGACCTACTGATGTCAGCATCACCTTTACATGCCAGGAACAAATTATTACAGAAGACCATACCTAGAACACCCAGCTGGAAGTTAATGAATCAGGGAGGAAGACTAATGACACTGAGTGGTACATTCCTCCGAAGCAGGGACCGCGTCCATTCTCCTTCGGGTGGGAGTGGAAGTGCTCTGCGCACGGTGGGCGCGCTGCTGATAAGGCTGTCTGGTCAGGTGAGGACACAGGTCTCCAAGGAAAACCCTGGCCTGTCCTAGGGTGTGGATGGGGAAAGTGGGAGTAGGAATTCAGCTGCAGCACCGGGTGCATGGAAACTCTGCCGCTATTGAAATCCCTTTTAAGGCTGAGGGGCAGATCTGAAAGGGGTGAGCAAGACAGCGCTGTGTGTGTGACGAGTCCTGGGTGAGGAGCGGGACCCTCTCCGTCATTCCCAACACCACCTTCCCCCTGGAGTCTGAGGTTCCACAGGCCAGGCCATAAAGGGAAGTAGCCCACACACCTCAACCCGGGGCCACAGTTGGAGGTGGGGGGATCTAAGGAAAACTCCACGGATGAGTTTCTGAGTAGGGAAGTGGACCGGGAACAGCGCATTTCCTGCTTCGCCTGTGCAAATCCCAGGCGGGGCCAAGCGGGAACGGGGACACGGTCGAGGAGTCGCCCGCTGCCAGGGCGGAGTTGGGGGGCAGCCTCGAGGGGACACCGCCGGACCAGGGAGGGATGCGCGTGGAGGGAGTGGGAGAGGGCGTCCAAGTAAAATGTATATTCCCGTCCTGGGGCGAGGGGAACGCGCATCCCCAAATTCCCTCTCGCTGTAGCCCTTTTTTTTCAGTCCCCACGGGGAGAGGCCGGCGCAGCAGAGGAGAACGGCATAGGCTGGGTCGGACCCGCACTGCAGCATCTGCGGGGCTCCGACCTGGGACGGACCTCCAAGGCCGGGGGCGAGCGGCAGCAGAGCCGGTGGCGGCGATCTTCCGGGCCATTCCCTCCCCCCTACCCCTCCCCTCCCGCCCGCGACCTTCGACCTCCATCCCGGACCCACGGGGAACTGGCCCGGGGACAAGGAAGAGACGTTAAAGGTATCAAGGGGCGCGGCACCGCCGCCTAGACGGCGCCGGGGCGCAAGGTGCGAATAAGCTGCGTCCGGCTGCGCGGCCCTACCTGGGAGGTGCGGTACCCTCGGCCGCGCTCCACCGCCGCGCGCCACCTCCGGGAGGCAGCCGCCCGCGCACGATTTATAAATGCAAAGGCCTTATTGTTGTTCTTTGTTCAGGGATACCATTGTCTAGTCATCCACGGGCCGCCTGGAGTTTTCCCAGGATTTGCGGCGCGCACTCCCCTCCCCCGCCCACACAGACTTGCTCTCCAGCGCCAACCCGGATCTGCCTAGGTGCCCACGGGTCCTTCCCGATCGACTTGAGTGTCCTTCCTCCAGCTCTTGCTTTCCCAGCATCGAAAACACAAAAGCCTGCCGGAAATCACCCAGCCTTTGCCTGGTCACTCAGGGGCCCACGGATAAGCGTGGCTCTGATTCCTCCAGGTCAGCCCCACGGTTCGCCACCTACCCGAGTTAATTTCTGCGCCCGCTGACCAAAGGCCCCAACTGGCAACGGGCACAGCTTCTTGGTGCGCTAGTCGCTTCCTTGCCCAGCCTTTCAAGCCTCAGGTCCGGCCCAGGGACCTGGGGACCTGAGCGCAATTAGTAGCCGGGAGTCCTGCGACCCTGGACCGCGCAGTGCTAAGGCACCCGGCCGGCTATGCGAGCGGTGTACTCGGCTCTTACTTGTGAAACTTGTTTTCCCCAACCCCCTGCGTAAATCTCTCGTGTTGAGAAAAGCAAGGCTTGCAGGAAGCCACTCCGGATGTTTGCTGCTTTACATGTGGCATTTGTGGCTGGCTCTGATAACGTCCCGGGGCACCATGTATTGAAGTGAAGAGACTGAAATAGAAGGCTCCACACACCACGCGCGGGTCAGCGACGTCGCCGCCCTCCACACTGCCCCCCGAAAATAAATGACAAGCGAATGATCAGAAGAAATGAGATCTAACTGGGTCACAGTATGTAAAAGGGACTAGAGTTGGAAGACCACCACAATTCTCCCCTGTAAATTTGTAAACTGTGAATTTATGATCCCAGGGAGGGTGTTATAAGAAGTAGGGGGGAGGGGCGCCAAAATCTACTCCAACCTATGTTGTGTACTTTCACCTGATTTCTCTTACCCGACCAAGATCCGTCCCCAGGAACAAGGGCGAATAAAAATAGGGAAACTCGAACGGGCTTGGTGGCTCACGCCTGTAATCCCAGCACTTTGGGAGGCCAAGGCGGGCGGATCACCTGAGGTCAGGAGTTTGAGACCAGCCTGACCAATA